ACCGACGGCGCAGAGGCTGGAAATGGATAGATGGACAACACCACAACGACAGCAAAGGTACAGTTTCGTGACTACAAAATTCACTGGTATGGGTAACAACAAGAATGGCCCGTTCAGACTTCAGTAGATCAAGTTGCTGTTCAAACTTTAATTTTGCCTTGGCAAAGCAGGCTAACTGGTAGCCTCCACCAGGCCTTTCTACCGGAATTACGATCGTAGAATTCGGTAATAAAAGAGAGTAAAATTGGCCAGGGGAGTCCAGCCGCGGGGAGGTAGTTTCTTTCCCTCCGAAGAGGGCCAGTCAAAACTACAAGGCGGCCAGACTCTCCTGGCAAATTAGTCTGGCCGAGACTAGCTATAACTGAGAAACGTTATGATTTTTATGTGGTGATTGTTTTTGCTCACCTTTCTTCTCCTCCTCCTCCTTCTCCTGCCATTTCTTTAAATTGATTCAACTCCTTCATTTTTGGGCCAAATAACATGAAATTTGGCATGAAGGTAGAGTGGGTAAATACCCCCAGGCGTTTTTTTTTTCATTTTTGTGATACAGGCTTTTAGAATGGTTTTATTTGAGCTTTTTGGATGCGTTATAGAAAATGTACTATAACAGTGTGTTGCCATATTTGGGCATGAGTCATCAGAATGGCATGAAGTGCAGGCCACCAATAGTCATGTAGATTTCCTCTATTCTCCTTGCTGATTGGCTGTTCGGATTTGATTGGTTTAACGCAATTAACACCTGTACAAAGCCATGCCATATTGACAGTATGAACTTTATTCAAGTGTTTTGGTAGGTATGTCAAGCTTTCATGCTTCAGCTTTGGAATGCGGGGCATCAACGCTTCTTTTTTTTCTTGAAAATCAACATTTTGCAATGAAAAATCCTAATCGATAAAGTAAGTGATAGCTATCTAACTGTTGTCACTTCATACTATAGTTATATCAATGTAAAGCATTGTTTTCCCCTGTATTTCTCCTTATTTCGAATTCCCTGCCATGTCGTGAAATGTGGTGAAGTCATGCTGAATTTGCTCCAAAGAAAATGTCGGCTTTTCTAGTTTTCATTCGGAATAGCTGTTAGCCACATAATTGGTGGCACGTGCGCACACGTTCCATCTTTTATAAGCTGGCATTTTCTGAATGTACTTGAATCTTTTATGAAGTGCTCTTCTAAAGAAATCCTACTTTTTTTTCACGCATACCGTGACAATACACAATTTACTGCGTATAACTTTAAGTCTTTAATATATTAATTTCTAAAAAAATACAGTTTTCTTATGATACTGGCGAATGCACCAACAGGCCGTTGAAGTGGCGCTTGGAGGCAAGTAAAGGAAGTTGCGCGGAAACGTCGTGACATACTTCTTTTTAATTTGAGTAACATAAGACAAAAACAAAACCAGGACAACGGGAACACTCAAGGAGGCCTCTACAGTGAGGGCCGAAGTTTGCAAGGTGATGAGCCAACCTCCCATTCCCGCAGACATTAAAAGGACAAGTACGAACACTTAAAACGTAGAAGACGTCGTGACATACTAAGACCACAGCAAGTAATTTTTATGGATGACATCAGCGCGCGCCTGATTTTGGAAAGAAAAAAAAATTTCGTTGCCTTCTGACAGTGGTCAACATGCCGAAAATGGTCAAAGATGTGTGTTGCCATGCCGGAAGGTGGATGGCAGATATATATATGAAGAGAAGAGAGAAGAAAAGTATCTGATTTATTAATGTTTTGTTTTTTACTTTGATGCCTTAATATGTGATGCTGGCTGTGTATATGTGATGTTCCTACTGAATCAAAACCATTTGTACCATGATTGAGTCAAAATTTTAAAATGTAGGAACCTTGTTTTTTTTCGACCCGTCTTGTTTTTTTTTGCCCGTTCGCATTAGATTTGGAGTCTGCGGAGGATGTCATCCATAAAATTTACTTGCTGTGGCCTAACAGTAAATCTGGGCCACTGCGTCAATAAGCCCTTGCATTAGATGACGTTTTTTTTACGTCAGTGCGTTGCTGTAGGCAACGTTATGTTCGCTGTGATACAAAGTTGAGCGAGGGAGGGCATCCGAGGCCATTTACTTGTGTTTTTACCCTCACGGTTCGTATTGCAAACTTAGCCACAATTTGCAAAAGCTTACATCCTCTCAACTCACTGTTAACATTTCTAAATCCACATTTTTTAAGGCCACACCAAGTAAATTTTATGGATGGCGTCCTATGGAGACCCTAAATCTAAAAAATGCGAGAGGGCGAAAAAAAAACAAGAAGGGCCCTAAAAAACAAGATGCCTAGATTAGAAATATACTAAGAGACGACAAATGTTAGGACACAAATTGAATGAGGTGACACAGTGTAACAAGCAAGAAGTCTTTTATTCATCATCAAAACAGCAATAAATCAGGTGGAACAGCAGTTGTAGTCCTGTCCTGTTTCTTTCATCACATTTTTGCAGGCCTGCAAAATGTGCTCTTTACCCATTTCGCGTTACGGGGTTCACGTCAATCTAACGATTTGCGGCACTGTTGTGACTCTTTGATCATAGTTACAGGAAGCGAAATTTCTTGGGTTTTTTTTCTAGGAACAGGCCAAAATCAATGCGCGCGGACATCATCCATAAAATTTACTTGCTGTGGCCTAATGTCCAAATACGTATACTCAACCATTCATCCTGGCCTGTCCCCGACTGGTGTTAAGGCCATGTTGATTTGATTATATGGATGACACCCGCGCGTGCATGAATTTCCGGCCGTTTCCAAAATAAGAGAAGTTTTCAACCATACTGTAAATCGTACAAAACAGTTGCAAACTGAGCAAATATAGAATATTTTTAAACGATACCAATGTCGTAGAATGCCCAAATCAAACAAAAAAAAGACGAAAATGTTAAAGAAATGAATTTGAAGAGTAGATTATTAAATTTTTCAATATTAGGTAAGTATTGGAAGTATGGAAACGTACTTTAGATATATTACAAGTACGTTTCCATACTTCCAATACTTGCATAATATTGAAAAATTTATCTTTCTTATGCGCTTTGATCATTCTGTATTATACAAACCTATTTCAAATTATATCTTTAACATCACAAAGAAACGAGAAGAAGCCGAACTTCTGTATGAGAGTAGATTTAGAGCTGTTTGTACAACAAACATGTATATTACCTACTTCATCTGTTCGCCTGTACTTAGCCCGATAGGGCATGAATGTACAATAAAGGTTATTACTATTATTCGCCAAACCATACTCTGTGTCATTTGTTCAACCTTCATGGCCACGTAGATTTCCTAATGAAAGCAACGTTTTTTTTTTTGCAAAACTTTTTTTTCTATTCGCACGCGCGCATCAGTTTTGGGGTTCCCAGGGGATGTCATCCATATAATCAAATCAACATGGCCTAAAGAGAAACAGGACTCCCTGAGATTTTCTCAAATGACATTCGCGAGATCTAGCTTAGAAGTTATCAATATTGTTATGGAATAGCTGTAATGGCGTAAATTAATGCATAAGGAATATGCTTTTAGAGCTGTGTGTGTAAGATTATGCCTTTAGTTTTACGTCCTGGTATATCATCGATACGATGCAAATTGAAGTAACTTATTACTTCTGTTATCAACACCACAAGCTATCTAATGACAATGCTAATTCAATATTGGAAATTGGTACATGTATGTAGTATCAATGACGCTGTATCAACGTCCGACTTAGAAAGATATACACCGCCCTACTGTCATCAGGCCACAGCTAGTAATTTTTATGGGTGACATCAGCGTGCGCATTAATTTTCGCCTGATTTTGGAAAAAAAAATTTTGTTGCCTTCTGACAGTGATCAACATGCCAAAAATGGGCAAAGATGTCTGTTGCCATGCCGGAAGGTGGATGGCAGATAATTATGAAGAGAGGGGACAAGAAAAGGCTCTGATTTAATGTTTTGTTTCTTACTTTGATGCAGTGATATGTGATGGTGGCTGTGTATATGTGATGTTCCTACTGTACACAAAACCATTTGTACAATGATTGAGTCAAAATTTTAAAATGTAGGAACCTTGTTTATTTCGGCCCGCCTTGTTTTTTTTTCGCCCGCTCGCATTAGAGTTGGAGTCTGCGGAGGATGTCATCCATAAAATGTACATGGTGTGGCCTCATGCAGTTCACCTTTATCCATCTAGATAACGAATTTGAGCAGACTGATGCAGTGCTTTTTATAGTTCGATCTTCTTACATCGTTTGCGATCAATGGAAGGGTTAAATCCTAATCGCTTCATCCGCGCGTAAAACCGGTGATTTGCTCTGCGGACGCAGACTCACTGACACGTGGAACAAACCATGTGGAACTGAGGGGGGAAGGGTCAACTTTTTTCACGCTCACTCATGTCTAAAATAAGGATTATTTCTATCCGAGCACTGTTTGTTTTGGGTACACACAGGTATCGGTTTGTTCGATGGGCACAGCCGTTTTGTTTGACGTGTGTTAGACTTCAGATGAAGTCACCGAAAGCTCTTTGGTCGTAATTTCACAAAAAGACAATGAGGTCATAAATTATCCAGTGGTCAGTCCTTCGCAAACCCCTCTGAGACCCTCTGACTCTGTCATGATCACATCGGCAGGCATATAATTATCCCCCGCTAAAAGCGGTTCAAAAGACAACTAGATACACACAACTTTATTTTGTCACGATCCCTGTCCCGATACCGACATTAACAAATCATATACACCATTTGTGATTTGTCTGCGCGCCATTTTAAGAGGGCCTGCAAGGGGGGGGGGGCATTTTAAGTGACGCCGTAGCACTGACACGCTTTTAGGGACCGTTAATAGCTACACGAGACGACTTGTTGATATTCAACGCTTCCCCTCCACGCGTGGACTTTGTCTTGTATGTTTTGAACTTTCCTTTAACGGTGCTGGCAGTTTGTGTGAACAAGGATGGCCTTTGATTGCTCAGGGTCTGACGCAAGCCGTCTCCTAGGTAACCATATCACGGCCTGATCAGATCAGAGCTCCTCAGCTGACAAGATGTCTTCTCGGCGTGTTGGAGCCTTAAAGACCCTGTATGAAGTGAATCCATACAAATGGCCACGGTCGTCGCGTTTCGATGCCATATAGCTGGCCGATGTCATAGCATGCCCGTAGCCAGGGGGGTTCGGGCAAAAACTCAAAGGTCCACTTTTTTGTCCACTTTTTATGTAAAGGAACACTTTTTGGTCCACTTATTATGTAAAGGTCCAAGATTTTTCTTGAAAAGGTGGACTGGAATCGTTGAAAAACTGCTCCCTTCGTCATTGAATAAAAATTTATCTCTGATTTTTTCTTGGAAATCCTCTCAAAAATGCACGAAATGCCATTTTAGGAGGTTCATTTTTCAAAATTTTCCGGGGTCCGGGGCCCCTAGGAACCTCGCGCGTTCGGCGCTCGCCTCGTGCCTACGGCGCTAGCTGGTCCCCTCAAGCAGTGGGAAGAATCCTCCATTCAAAATCCTGGTTACGGGCATGCATAGCCTCCATAACATGCCAAAAACTGGGGTTTTTGGGGGTCTTCAGGGTTTTTGGGAGCTTTTATGTGCTATTTTCTGATTGTATATAGACAACATAGCCGGCCAGGTTGAATTACCCCCGTTAAAACTGTGCTAATTAGAAAACAGCCGAAGATCACCAAACCCCCAGTTCTACGGAGACTATTGATGCCATATCCGAGCGTATCATAACTTTTTTGGGGGTCCAAAAACGTATAAAAGGTATAAAAAAAGCAACATTTCGAATTGCAAATGTAAGAGGGGATCATAAAAAAATAAAGGTATTAGTGGAAAAAGAAAAAAAGGCACAGGCTCAGATTCGAACCCGGGTCAAAAAGTGTAGCTCTGAAACCCTGACCATACCCTAACCCTCAAACACCACAAAACATCACGATGTGGACGGACCGTGCTGATACACTTAACTTAGCCGAAACTGCGCGAACATCTTTTAGTCTACCATTAGGCCATGTTGAGTTGATTATATGGATGATATTCTCTGGGAACCTCAAAACTGATGCGAGCGTGCGAATAAAAAAAAAGTTTGGCCCCTAAAAAGTTACCTTCATTATGGAATCTACGTGGTCATGAAGGTTGAACAAATGACACAGAGTATGGTTTGGCGAATAATCTACTCTTCAAATTCATTTCTTTACCGTTTCGTCTTTTTCGTTTGATTTTGGCATTCTACGACATTGATATCGTTTTCTAATTTTTTTGTTCAACCTACGGTATGTATTTGCTCATTTAGCAACTGTTTTGTACGATTTACAGTATGGTTGAAAACGTTTTTTTTTTGTGGGGGGGGGGCGAAAATTCATGCGCGCGCGGATGTCATCCATATAATCAAATCAACATGGCCTTAGGTGCTAGGGATAGTTAATTGCTAAAGTCTCCCAACCCATTTATTTTCAAAGAGTCGGACAATTCATCTCCCACTGCCTCCTGAGAAGAAGTCAAACCCCTAATAGCATGGCAAGAATAGCTTAATAGAATAGAATAGATTAGAATAGCAGTTACCTTGTTCCTATTACCAGTTCACATATTGCATATTTACTTATTATCCTGTATGTATACCAACGTTATTAGATTTAAGTAGAGATAGTAGGTTCGATAAGTATATCGTACACGTAGAAGTTCATGTTAGCAAATAGTCTTACATCACCACATTCTTCTTGTCAATGTCTGTATGCAATTAGCCCTCAGGCATGAATTTGCAATAAACAACTTCACTTAATAAAACACGCGTTTTTCTTCATGGAATTCAGACAGGGAGAAGCTTTATTGGTGCAACAAAAACGTACAGCGATTACAGAGCGCGTTGTTTCATATTACATAATATCTTCTGTCCTCTATCTTCTCATGTCCTCTGACAAAGAAATCTGATTTACATTGAATCTAAATTGCACACTACACTTTTGCCCATTGCCAATAACAACCTCTCATTTCAATAAACCATTATGGTAATTATAGGAAATAAAATGTTTGCAAAGCATATGAAAGATATCTTTTCTAGTCAACATGTTACATGACACACTTATCAATCGGTTGTTGGATGATATACTTTTCCGGTCGATGTTCAGGTGAACTTGCACTTCTTGTTCCGCCGCTCAGAACCTTTCAGCGTGCCACTAGGTTCTCTTCCAGTTCTCATCAATACACCGTTAACATACCTGTCTCCAAGTCATTTTACAACAACAGCTTCTTTCCCCGGACTGCAAAATTATGGAACTCTCTTCCAAACAGATGCTTTCCGTCCGACTACAATCCACAAAGCTTCAAAACAAAGGTCCACCGCCATCTCCTGACATAACTACATTATACTCACTTAAGTACCTCTAGCTCTATGCCTGGGAGTGGCCAAAAATAATTGGCCTTGCATTGAGCGACACCGTTAAAAAAAAGATATTTTAGCCATCACTTTTCATGCTGTGATAGCCACCGTTCTTTCTTCTACACTTGAACCGACGACCAAGAAAGAAACCCAGCCCAGCAATCACAATACATACGGAAAGTGCAATGATCAATCCCAGACCAGTTGGTGTCATAGTGACAGAATGATGCTTAGCGATGGTTATGATTGACACACACGAAGACTCTACCTCCTTTCCCTCTACTGCCCCTTGAAGCGCCGCCATTAGACAAATGTGGTATTTCGTATCTGGAGTAAGACTGTTAATACCAAAGGAGGTTCCATTCTCCCAACCACTATACCTCACGGAAGAATGTTCGGAGCTCCAAGAAACCTGAAATTCGACATGTGGATCGTTGGAAGCCCACGATAGTTGCACAGTTTGCTCAGAAATGCTGTCAATACTGAAGTTGAAGAGTTTGTTTTCTGGCGGCAAAGTTGGGGGGATTGCTGTGGTGACGTTAGTGGGTAGTGTTGTCTGATGTACGGTTGTTGAGGGAGGCACCGTGGTGTTACCACTACTGTTCCCACAGAAGTAATGCAGGGGGACTTTACTCACCATTTGGCCTTTCAGGTCATCAGGAGTCTCACAGTTCAGAACGTGCCCCTCCGCGATTCCAAGTAACTCCCGAACAGTAGCGTTTTCCAACCATTCTCGCAAAGGGAGCAGGTCACAACCACAATTCCATGGATTTTGGTCCATGGTAAGATTCGTCAACTTTGGCATTTGAGAAAATGCGGACGGAGCTACAGTATTCATTCTATTGCCGGAAAGAGACAGTGACATCAATGAAGACTTTTCAATACCACTAAAGCTCTTGGTATCAACTTGGCCCAGATCATTAAAGCTTAGATCCAAAAGCTGAAGTTTAACTAAGCTGGGTAAAACCATGTCACTGAGAACCCTCAGCCTATTTCTCGCCAAGGATAGCTCTGTTAGAGCTGACAGCTTTCCAATGGCTTCACCAGGAAATTCTACCACATTATTATCCTCGAGGGAGAGAAGCCGTAGAGCAGGTAGATGTTCAAACTGACGAGGACTAAGAGTTAAGTTGCCATTATAAGCTACCCTGTTCAAACGAAGTACTTCAAGGCCAACAGGAAGATTGCCTGGGATACAGAGTTCTATGTTGTTATGAGACAAATCGAGCTCTTTGAGGTTCTGAAGAGATGTTAGGTTGATAGAAGCCTGTTCAGAGCATTGGAAGGCATTCTCTGCTAGATTTAGCTTCTGTAAATTACGGGGTAGTGAGTCGGAGAGTACTACACTGAGGAGGTTGTCCTGCAGATCTAGGGATGAGAGGTTCTTCAGGTTTTGGAGTGTCTCGTCGTTGATGTTGGAGATGCGGTTGTTCCGGAGGATGAGTTCTGCGGTGTTGTAGGGAAGGTCTGGCGGGACTGCAGTCAGAAATGCCCGGCTACAGTCTGCCCTGGTGCCGGTACATCTGTCAACATATCCGTCATACACAGTAAATTGTACTTCTTTCATACTCTCTATTTCCACGGAGAAGTCAAACCATTCAGACATAGTTCTAGACATAGCTATAGTTCTAGACAATCACCTTTTATCATATAGATTTTGAAGTTATTTTGTACTCTGTTTCAATGTTCTTTTATGTTTGTTATTTGCAATTAGGCCATGTTGATTTGATTATATGGATGACATCCTCTGAGAACCCCAAAACTGAGCGTGCGAATAAAAAAAAAGTTTGGCAAAAAAAAAAGTTTCTTTCATTATGAAATCTAGGTGGTTATGAAGGTTAAACAAATGACACAGAGTATGGTATGGTGAATAATCTAATCTTTCAATTTATTTCTTTACATTTTCGTCTTTTTTGTTTGATTTTGGCATTCTACGACAATGGTATCGTTTTCCAATATTTTTTTGGCAACATACGGTATATATTTGCTCATTTTGCAACTATTTTGTATGATTTACAGTATGGTTGAAAATTTTTTTTTTTGGAAACGGCCGAAAATTCATGCGCGCGCGGATGTCATCCATATAATCAAATCAACATGGCCTTAGCCTTCGAGCTGGAATTTGCAATAAACTTATCAATTATTTCTGATCATATATGAGGAAACGAAGTTGGTTCTGGACTAAGAGGAGGTAAAAACGGTATAACTATAACATTCTCAATCCCGAATGTAATTCGAAAGGGTCACCACAAAATGTGCCCCACTAGTGTAAACTAAAGAATATCTTTGTGCATTGAATTCAAGGCAATTGTTTTCATTTCATAGTCTCTAAAACGATACAAAAATGGAATGTTCCAAACATCATCATAGTCCAGCGGCATAGGTGGCAAAATCAGCTGAATAATTTAATAAAAAATGGGATTTAAAGGCTCATACTTTTTCCTAGAAGAGCGGTATTGAAACAAAATTAACAGATTTGTGTACCTTGTAGTAGGTTATGGTGGCATATAAATTTTCAGGGAGAAATATTGATGTTTAATTTTTTGCCCCTCCCCCTTAATTAAGGCACTAGAACGCTTCGCCTATTTTGGGGGTTCTAAATTCAAGATGACGTCACGGCGCTCCTGGGCAGAAATGGAAATGCCTCCATATCCAAATTTGTGCAGTATATCTTCTACTACGTGTGTGCCAAATTTTGTGCTTTTAGACAAAAGTGCACAATTTTTCAGCTATGCCGCTGGACTATCAGATACATCAGCATGAGCGCTCACTAAAAACCAGGTTTCTAGAACATAGACGACCCAGTTCTGTTGCATCTGAGGTGTCACAGCACATCCACATAGAATCACCGGGACACACAGTGGATCTGGAGGGGGTCAGAATCTTGGATACCGAACAGGATTACTTCAAGAGAGGCATAAAAGAGGCCATATACATCAGGGCACTTCAACCATCGCTCAACCGGGACGGGGGGCGATATCGACTTCAGACAACCTTTGGCCAGCACGTCGGCGGGACGTACTGCACCTGCGCGAAACCCGTAATGTATTGCACATAGCACTTTGGCAGAACGTCTCATAAATATAGAATACAACACGGTGTATTCCGTATCGCCCGAGGTATCGGCCCGACCGCGGGTCGGATCGCCCGACGGCCGAAGGCCGGAGGGCGATCCGACTCGCGGGAGGGCCGGGACCGAGGGCGATGCGGAATACACCGTGTTGTATTTTATTTATATCATACCCACCCAAGAAAACGCGCCTTTCAATGGAATATGAGCCAAAAAGTTGGTCCCCTTAACCCTCAAATGCAACAACTTCAGTTCCAACGTCCGGATTCTGTATTCGAATTTTCGAAAGAGGCACACGCGGTTAGGGCGAAACGCGTTCGAATCGTTTTATGGAAGCCATGGAAGCGTTCGATAACGGGTTCCGGACCGGG